GTGTGTCTGTGTGTGTCTGTGTGTGTGTCTATGTGTGTGTCTGTGTGTGTGTCTGTGTGTGTGTCTGTGTCTGTGTGCACAGGGGAGGCAGGCCGCGGGGAGGAAGGGGGTGCGAGCGGAGAGAGAGGGAGTGGGGAAAGAGTGAGGAGTAAAGCTAACATCCGTAATAAGGCCCTCCAGTGGTGCATATTTCCTTCCGTACCTTGTCTTCCCCCGCCGAGATCCACCCAAAGAGGTGCGCTTGTGCATGGTCGCACCTACCGGGGGGTTGGGTTCGGTAGGGTTGGTGTGGGGTGGGAATCAGAGGGCGACACATTAGGAGGCCATTATAGGCTGTTAGTGTATTTGAAAGGTCTAACGCCAAATCGTACAAATTGCTACGGACTACCCAAAACTGTTGTATCACACGAATGGCGCCGGTGACAGCCGGAAACAGGGGGAGATGGAATATCCACACATTGCACACAGCACATGGCAATGAGCTGGAGTTGAGGGAGTTGGAGGGGAGGGGGTGCGACTGCCTGCGATGTGATGCAGCTCGGGGTACCAGCCACCAGCCACCTGGGGGGAGGGTGGGTGGGTGGGTGGGTGGGTGGCTCATATTCATAGGTTGGCCCCGGCCTACCTACTTACCTGCTTGCCTACCTGCCTACCTGGTCAGTAGCCACACACTCCAAGCCGTGCCCCCAAAACCCCACTCCCCCCCACACGCACGCACCTGCAGGGCGCCCCCTTGCGGCAGTAGAAGCAGTCTCCACAGCACGACGTGAAAGGGGAGGCCACCCGGTCGCCCACCTCCAGCCCCGAGACCTGGTGGTGAGGGGGCGCGTGTCGGGGGCCCCGGGGTCCGGGCGGGTTGCTGGCCGGATGTGTGTGTATGTGTGCTTGGAGGAGGAGCGGAATGACGTTTGGAGGTGTGCGGGAGGCCGCCAATGGGCAGTGGATGGATGACCGGCCAGCAGTAGCAGCAGCAATGCAGTGGGGTGGGTGGGTGCAGCGGCGGTACTGCGCTGCAGAGCGGGCGCTGCGGTGTGACATTGCAGAGCACTCAAGAGGTAAGCAGCGGGTGGTGGTGGTGGTGGTGGTGGCGGTGGTGGTGGGCGGCGCCCCAAACGGCGGCGCCCTATGAAGGGAGACGGACAAGACCAGCTAGGCCCGTTCGGAGAGAGTTCTGCGGATGTTGTCGCTACCATCAGGAACCGTAGAGACGCGCCTCCATTTAGGTAGTCGGGTTACCATGGCCATGGCGCTACGAAGCTCAGCACGTGATCATGAGATTTAAAGCGCCATGGCTAGTAATCCGAATTCAGGATGTTAAGGACCCCCAACAACAATAAACAGGATTCCAGACCAAGGGAATGCTCAGGTGGACAGATTATGAGCACATCGCGCATCTACGCTCCTACGACGCAACATGCCGCAATTTGGTTGCGTGTGACAGAGTTGGCTTGCAATGGGCGGACCGAATCCAGGGAATCGGTTTGCTCATCCCCGTGGGAGCATGCAACACACGTGGCAGGTCGGGGGTCCCCACCTCGGCTCCCTTGGCCACAATGACGCCCACGAATTCATGCCCCACGACGGTGTTTGGAGCGATCCCCTTTTCCCGTCCGTGGTACGGGTGCAAGTCGCTGCGGCAAACCAGTACATGAACAGCAGCGGCCCGGCACCAAGCAGCGTGTCAATGAGATAGGCGAAGTTACGAGCTTGAATACATGTAGCCGGTAGGTGCAGCCGGGTGACGCGCTTGGGCAAGGAATCCTGCTCCAATACGGTTGCATGCTGACCTTGCACGGCAGGCGTTCGCAATGCTAGGCATTACAAAGAAGGGATTCACCTTCCACATACGCTGCATGAAGTAACCCGAACTATCGCATCTCTTGGGTGTAGGAGGCGCGGACAGGGGACCGTCGTAAACACGATTCGCTCCTCCTCCGCCAGCACCAAGGCCTGCATGGTTTCTGGTAGATCTTCCACCATTTTAAAAATAATATTAAACAGAGTAATCGTGCACACTTATTGGTACCGTTTGATTCAAAAGAAGCCTCAAGCTGGTGCCAGCCTAGCCTAAGTCGTACGGCAGCGACGAAGCACCCGAGTATGTGATTCGTAGTAATGCATGACCTTAGCATGGTGAACCTTCAACCTGTCACTTTAGATTTTGATGCGCTTGCATTTATGGCTAGGCATGGGCCATATTTTATGCTTTGTCCTACTAGGTGTTCTACAATCCTGGTTGCGTTGATGCGTTGCAACCATTCATGTTAGCCACTACAAGCTGGAAAGAGAAACATGCTTGTCTACTGGTGAGCCCACGTGCTTTTCAGTGACATGCCCGCATCTACGCGGATGCCTCTCCTGACATGACTCATCGCGCTGCTCGCAGTCTGGACAATAGCGATGCTGCCTGCCGCTCTGAAGACTACCCTTGTGGCAATCGCCTCTCATGGCAGCTTGCGGTAGTCCGGACTGTCAGTAGGTCGCTTCTCGCTCCCCAGCAGGGCCAACAGCTTGGACACAGCAGTAATGCCTCTCAACAGCTGGCTGTGGTGTCAAGCGCGGCGCGTCCAGAGCTTTCAGTTGCTCCTACGTCCGATGCCGCTGCACTTCTCGGGCTGGACGTTTCACGCCTCTACGGCGAGCGCTGCCAGTTCCTTGGCGCGTTGAAACTTGCACTCCTAGCTTTAAAGCGCTCATCTTCGGGACGGGTCCTGGCCTTCCTCGCGTCAGGGGTACGTGTGTCATGACGCGTTCGTCCACCCGCGAACCGTCATTACGAACTGGCGATTCTTGTCTAGGTCCCACCTCACGGGAAATTTTTGGGATTGCCGTTCCCCATGTGACATTTCCAACGTTGGAGGCTTCCCTCTGGAGGGTCTCCGAAGCACACAACCACTCCTCAAACCCACACGCGTAGGGGTTGGCAGGGTAATGCTTGGTAATGCTTGGCGCACCTCCATACCCCATGTCTCTTCCTGGTCAATCTTCTGCAACGCACATGCACATACGGACTCCTTTGCCACTGCTTAACTGAATGGCCGTAACGCCATGATTGAGGGTAACCCCTGCCAACCCCTCGCCTTGTGCCCTCGACCCCTGCGTGGTGCATGGTGCACTCTTAGTCTGCATCCCCCTTCCTCTCCTCCGCAGGCGGACCTGCCTGCGAACCAATGCAGCCAGATCAGCCGGAGCTTCGCAACCGCACGGATATCCTTGGACGTGGTCGTGCTCTGCCAGGACGATGAACTAACGCCCGACATGAAGTTATCCCTAGAGTTGCTGACGGCGGAGTCGTCGTACGACCAGCCCGCAACGTCCAGCAGCGTCGCCGGGACCGCAGCTGCCCCTTCCCAGCGGCCCTGGCAACAGCGGCGAACAACACCAGGCTCCTCAACACCATCACCAGCGTCACATTCACCGCCGCAGCACCCGGCGACTGGGCAGCTGCCTTTGCTTCCAGGGGTGTCTTCATCAACGTCACCGGTGTCGTTGGCGTTGGAGGGGACGGGTGCAGCGACAGCAGGGCCGCCGGCGGCCACGGCAGGGCCGTGCGGTCAGCGGCTGCTGTACTTTCCCCCGCCGGATCCCTCCCTGGCCTTATGGCAGCAAATGGAGCCGCTGCTGGAGCTGTTGCAGCTGGAGGGGCGCCATCAGCAGCCCAGTGGCGATGGTGGAGGCGGTGGAGGAAGCGGCGGTGATGGCGAGCCGGGGACAGCGAGCCCCGAGGTGGGGAGTGACCCTTGGGAACTGGGGTGCGGGGTCCTAGGGGGGAAGAGGTCCGCGGGCGGGTTGTGGGATTGTGATGGACCCGTCATGTAGAGTGCATGCAAGTCTCTGTTACTGTTAGGGCGCAGGTTGTGTGTACTGGATTGGGCCTTAAGTTCCGGATGAACGGGTGTGTCGATGGCGTTGATGAATGTCAGGAAGGCTATCATGGCGTATGGACAATGGAAAAACAGGCGGAAAGTCATCTGTCACATTCTACAACTTGGTGGGTCCTTGTGTGTGTGGAGAACGTGCTGAATGCAGTGGCTTTGTCCATCCATGGCTCCCCTTCTCGTAACCTCGCTTTTTTTCCCTTCCTGATCTGAGATAACCCTCAACGGCTCAACCCCGGGGCCCCACCCGCCAGGATGACACACGGAGAGGACCCACGCACTTGCGTACCGGTGCGAGCAGCGGCACGGGCCGACCGCCGCTGCCCCGACCGCCGCGCTACCGCGCCGGCGGAGCTCCTGCCGCCGCCGCCACGTCAGGCTCCTCCGCCGCCGCCGCCGCCGCCGCCGCCGCCGCCGCTGCGTCTTCCACTTCATCCGGGATAGGGATTGGCCAGCGGCCGCCGGGGTTGGCGCCGTCGGGGCCGTTGACGAACCGCAACGGCGCGCGCGGCGGCGCTGTCGGCACCTGCCGTTACGAGTCCTTAGATTCCCTACAGCACCTCTCCCTGGACGGGTTTCTGCGCAGCTGGCTACCGTCGTACGCGAACATCTCCTGTGTACTGCAGGTTTCCCCAGCGGCAGCGGCGGCGGCGGCGGCGCAGCAGC